TGTTGTAATGAATTGAACTTGATTTGTCGATTTGGATCTCTTATTTGTGAAGGCAATGGCGTTTTAACTGGGTTGATTTTTAATTTCCAGTTTGTGAAGTTGATCAAGGTGTGCTTAAATGTACTTGGCTGCGTTTGTGTGATTCCATGAGGAGGCAAAAATGGCAGTGTTGTCTGCGTAGACTGTTAAGTGGGAATTTTGAGTGTATGGAATGTCATTTATGTAAATTATGAATAGCAGGGGACCGAGTATGGGGCCGCAATGACGCTTTTGAAGAGGTACCATTTACTGAAACATAGAAGGTCCTGTTTTGCAGGTAACTGGCTGTCAGTCTGAGGAGAGCGGGTAGAATATTTATTCGTTGCAGTTTCACTGAAAGGGCGCTGTGCCAGAATGAATTGAAGGCTTTTTCTAAATCTAAGAGGATAAGTTGTGTTTTTGTTTATCTCGAGAGTGATGTGTTCCATAATTCGCTGTAGGTGCTGGATGCATGAATGATTTTTTCTTAAACCAAACTGCTGCGGAATGATTATGTTACTGTTGTTAACATAAATTAATAGATGAATGATGATAATTTTTTCAAATATATAATTTTCAATACTATAATTTGCTGGTACTTAGGAGGTTGATTGATCTATAGCTTTCGACGACTGTTGCGGGTTTCCTGCTTGGGGATTGGGATTATCTTGGCGGTTTTCCATGCTATGGGAAAATAAGAAAATTTAAGGCAGATTTGAGTGCCGTTGTGGTGATTTTGTTTGGTCCTCGGGTCTCGGAAGAGAATTTTTTAATTATGTTTTTTATCTGTTAAGGAGTGCAGTTTAAACTGCTATCGTCCATGGTGCGGTTTGTGAGTGGTAATGTTACAAGTCTTTCTTCTGAGTTATGTATTTTTTTGAAGTTTACAGCAAGGCTTCAGCTTTTTCTTCGTCTGTATAGTAGGGTGTATGAGGTTTAAGGTTTAGGAGTATAGATATCCGAGTTTTTTCTCGAAGGGGTAATAATCTTGAAGATCTGCCAAAATGTGTGGTCCGTTGTCTTGATGTTTGCAAGCTTGTCCTGCCATATTTGGTTTCTGACTTTTGCGATACGTTTGAGGATGATATTTGAGAAGGGGCTTCTGTGTAGCTTATGAAATGGGTTACTAGTTTTTTGGAACTTCCGCCTATGTTTTTGTTTCTCTCTTTGATAAGGTTTTGGAGAACAGGATTTGCAGGAGAGGATTGATCGTTTGAAGTTTTAGACGTTGCATTTTTTCGAAAAGATCTTTGGATTAGCCGAGTTCGATTTCGTTGTCTATGTCAGCTGTTGGTTGTTAATTTCTGATTTATTTTGAATCTACTGCAGATTTTGGCGAATGTGTTCCAATTAGTTTGTTCGGTTTGGTGTTGTCGGCTTACGTTGTTTTGGGATTGTGAGGGTCACCAGGAGGTGATCTGATGATAAATCGTCTATGGTGTGATAATTTTATGGGAAAGGGACATTTGATAGGAAAATGTCAATGTTGGAGGGGATATAGTTTGGTTTCCTATGGATGTAAGTGGAGCTATGGATGATTGTGTAAGTCGGAATGATTTTTGAGGATGGACCATTTTTGTTTCTTTTGATGTTGCTCCATAGGGTATGCTTGGCGTTGAAGTCACCGCCGATGATGTAGAGTCCTGATCTTTGCGGCAGTACGATGGCGTCCAGATCGGCGGGGTTTATTTCGACTTGGGGCAGTCCATTAGTTTGGGAGTGGTTTTGATTTTGATGGTAAGTGATCTCTATGTTTGAGATGTCTGGTTATGGTATGTCTTCCATAGAAATGTCCTTGTGAACAGCTATTAATACTCCGCCCCTTGATTTATTGTTAGTGGATGGTGGTCCATCTTATTGTGTATTTTGTAGTTCGGTAATTTGAGAATGTCTTTTGAAGTGAACCAAGTTTCGGTGATAATTGCGATGTCTGCATTATGGTCTGTCAAAAATTTGTGAAGTTCAGATACTTTGTTTTTATCACTAGTGGAGTTCCATAAGATGATGATGATGGGTTTTTTATGGCTGCTCACCATCTAGTTCTTTCACTATGCATTATTGCGAGAACTCTTTCTAGATTATTTGTGCATTTTCTGTAGTATTTCTGGATAAACGATATAATTTTTTAAGAACTGGTCCAGGTCTGATCTATTTGATCTGATAGTTTTGGATTGAGAGGATGTTCGGTTTGCTGAGGTTGGGAGAATACGGCATATATTCCTTGTCTTGTTTTGAGGTTTGCCCGAGTCAGGGAAGAGATGGTAGGAATTTTGTTTAGGATAAGTTGAGAAACTTTGTACTGGGAGATACATGTTTGGTAAAAAGCTTTGCACATGTTGGATTCTTTCTTTACTGGTTTTTCTTAGTCTTTTTGGCCAGAAAAGCCAATAATGCAGGGCACTGGAAATAATTGACCGGGTGAACGACTTTGCAGGTGGCGCATGTTGATGGAATTTTTTGGGATTTTTTAATAGGAAATTTGCTGGTGTCATATTGTTCGGTGCATTTGACACACACTGATTTTTTTATTGCACTTTGACGATGTGTGACCGTGCGCTTGAACAACGGAAACACTGAATCGTTAGTTTGTGGAATTCATATTTTTTAGTATGTTTTAAGTATATTTTAATATTCTCGATGAATCTAACATGATATATTTGTGCCAGTGTGGTCCCAAGCGCGAACGTGAATCTATATATGGGGTATTTGGTGTGGGTCGGTATTTCAACACAGTGTATGGGATTTAGGCCCTGTTATCCAATGTTTTCATTTATTCTAATTAGCGGCAGTCGGATCAAACTTTTGATTGGTTTTGATTCTCACTTGTTCTTGTCTGTTTGATTTTTTATTTCGCATAAACTTGTTCACTGCTCACTGCAATCATGAATGGCTTCCTTGCTCAGAGGTTAATCGGAAACTAAGTGATTTGTTTGACTATGCTGTCGCTTATATAAGGCCAACTTTATTATGTCCTCTCAGATAACGTGATTAGGAAGACTTTTGTTTTGAGCCAAGGGACAGTCGGGCAAAGTCGGTCCCATAAAGTAATATTCCCAATTACTTTATGAGCCTTACGATACTGCCCAGGGATACGTTCCTCATATTATGTTTTATATGTTTATTGACCTTGATTGTAGGAACGCGTTCCTCACACTCATTCTTGGCCTGAATTTTATTCTTTTTTGTTTTGTTTTATATTTATTATCGTAAGGGCTATTACAACGAAATTTGCCAAGCCTTAGAATTGTTAGTCAGGTATGACTACAACAAGATCATAGAAATATGAAAATACAAGGAACCTCTGTCGAGAAAGCTCTGTCGTAAAGAAAATGATATACTTGAAAACTTTCCCATGACTGTCCATAGCTCGATGAATTTGTTTTCGCATTTCAGTTTATGAAACCGTATTCGATAAGACCAAAAAGATCGATGTTGTAAAACGAGTCAAAGAATTTTTTATACTCTGGCCCATCAGCCGTGAGGAACCAGGGAACAAGGTTGCGAGCTGACCGAAATAGATCCTTCTGACAAGAAGGGATTACTGCAGTTCGTAACAGAAATTTTATTTTTTGTAAAACTCCATCTGAGGTACATCCGTTAATGCCGATATGAACAAATAAATTCGCATTTAGTATTAACAATGGCAAATAATACTACACTAAATTTTCCTTAATTATAACAATAAGATCCATTATGTGCAGGTTTGAAGATACTTGATTATGAAAATATGATTGTCATCTATTGCATGTATCAAAATACCATTTTAATTAAATTCTGTTGCTGTTTAAATTCTGCAGCAATTATTCTCCATTTTTCTTCATTTCTGAGCAATTAAAAAAGTAATTCGATACCAAAAATAAGAAAAAATTAATTTTTCTTAATATGTACTAAATCTTTTAGAAAATACAAGATACATTACGTACACAGAAATTACGCAATCATCTTCTCTATAAAACTCATGTAAAGTAAAGTAATGCACAAACAAGAGAAAGAAAAAGTGATTATTTAAATTTGGCTATCAAAACAATTCAAATTTATAATGCGATAGAAAAAAGATCAGATGACCAATTTGACATTTGGAGGGAAAAATCAGATTTGATTTGAGGAATTTAAACAAATATCAATTAATTATCACGGAATAAATAATTATGATAAAATAAAATATATTATGGAGAACTGTATTTTTTCATCCAATTTGTATTTTAAAAGACATTCAATATCTTTCACCTTGGTTCTTTTAAACGAAACAGTAGAAATATATCTTAGTAAAAGTTTACAAACAAAATTTGTTATCCATTGACAAAAACAAAAAATTCTTGAGTCCTATATTTCTATGATGTATAAAAATAATCGTTGAAGATATATTTATACGATCAAATTTTTAATTTAAAATTCCTTTTTTTTATTTTGGGATATTTCAATGATTAGCAAGGATTTGAAGACGACATTTCTTGAAAAATGTTTTTTTCATATTTAACAAGCAATTAAATGAAAAAAAAGAATTTTCTACAAAAATGGACATAAAATTGATAATTTATTCACGTGTAAAGTCGATAAATTCAAAATAAAGTACATAAATTTCAAAAATATAATAAAAGAAAAAAGACATTTTTCAAACACTGCGTGTATTTCTAGGAATCTTTGACTTAATGATAAATATAAGAATGTGGCAAATATGAATATAACAAATATGAAGTATATTTGTTGTAAAAATTATTATAATACTAACTATGATACTAGATGATAATAGTTGTATTTGTTTGCAAGAAATTGGCTATAATATAAACTCCATTTCAGACTAATTCTCCATCCATTCTTTACCAAATTAAAAAAAAACATAGACCGGTTTCGAATAGAAAATGAATAGGGAACAGCAACAGATCGAAAGAGAGAGAGAGAGAGAGAGAGAGAGAGCGTGCGCTTAATGACAAAAACTAATAATTGAAATAGCTTTAATTAAACTTTATTAACAAAACATTATTCAGAAATCACTTACTCCCAAACTTTTATTTTTCCAAATATACAATCGTTGATATTCTTAAAATATTTCTGCATAAAATAGGTGTTTTACAACATTTTTTATATGACAAAATTCAAATGCATAACGCTTGCATTATTTGAATTAAATAGTTGAAATAAATATTATAAAGTTATATATATTACATTTTTAATTATAATTATGTACGTCAATCTTTTATTAATATATTTTAAAATTAATTTTTATGTGCAAAAAATGGTTCGTTATTTCTTCTTTCTATCGAACGAGTGATCCAAAGTATATTATCTTGCTGCAATGAAAAATGAATATCATAATTACAGTTACATGTGTAATTATAGTGTAGATAAAAATATAGAATATATACTTGAAAATAATCTTCAATTTCTTGAAGTGTGCGGTTTTTCGTTTCCGGTAAAGCAATATAAATAAATATTGCCTCTAGAAGAGCGGAAATTCCAAAAATTGTAAAAACTCCAATAATGCCTACTGCATCACTCACCTATTTTAATAATAATGAAGATTACACAAATTCACTTACAATTCTTATAATATTTTATTAGAATTATTAAAAATTTTAAATTATTACTATACTATGGATTTGTATGCAAATTTATATTTTTTAGAAATACAAATTAAGACAGAACCTTGATAGAAAATTATTTTGTATATTAAATGTTATAGAAAGCAATATTTTATATATCTTTTCATATATACATTCTCCGCACTTTAAAATTTCCTATAAACTCATCCAAAAATCTGCAAATCTAATTATTAAGGTAGTCTATCTAATTATTAAGGTAGTTATTGTTATTTCACATGAGTGAAAATATGCTACGTAGAGAGAGAGAGAGAGGTCCGTCTGATGCTAAAACAAATCACTTTTTTACTCAATGTCTGAGATTTTATTCAAATTAAAATATATTTTAAATTTTGAAGAGAATATTTTTTTCTGTAAATTTCGCTTTATTAAGTCATAGACGCTTGAGAAATGTGATTAATAGCCTTAATGCGCGATCGTTTAGACTCATTGTCATAAACAAACAATTTGCAGAAAATTCGCCACAGATATAATTTACCGCCAATTATTACACGTCCAATTTTTCTTGCAATTCAAACGAGCGCTTTACATTAATTTGCTGTTGAGTTTTGCATTCACTTTCGCATTTAATAAACATTGCATCCAAATTATCCAAATTATAGAATTGCTCATATATGAATTGATTCATATAAAATTAATATATTGTTTCACCGTAGTGCGGCAACTCTTCGTTCACGGTTATTTGCATCTCGTGTATACTATTTCTATAAATTGATGTTTTTATGTCGCAGCAGTACGGACACTTTAATGAACTGTGATCAGGTTACAAGTTCACTTGCAACAGCAAACAATGTTCGTTTGATAAGCGGCACATCAAAGAATCTGTTCACGAACTCGGAGCGTATATCAATGCATTAAGAATCTTGTTTTGTAATACTGTGTCCACACTGCTGTTAACAAACAGTTCGCAAGCTGCTCACGAGCAGTACTGCCTAGTATGAATCCAAATCCATTATATAACTATACTCAGCGGGAATTTGCCATAAACCGTTCGTCTGTATCGGATCTTATTTTTCAGTAAACTTGAAAAACTCGAATATCTCTCGTATATAAATAATATTAATGAAATTAAATAATCTTTCTTAATATCTCATGAATGTCTTCAAAATTACTAATTAATATGACAGTTATAAACATACCGTAGGAAAAATTTTTGTAACTATAAAAATGAGCAAATTGAAGAAGAAGAAATTACAACCGCCACCAATTCCTCGAGCCCTTTGCGGAAGTAACTCAGCAACCATTAAACCTGGAAATATCATCAATCCCACAGAACTGGCTGCCACGTATAACAGAAGAAAAATACCAATAACATAAATCTGAAATATATAGATCTAATATAATAGATATAAATCTGAAATATATAGATCTAATATAATAGATATAAATCTGAAATATATAGATCTAATATAATAGATTGTCATTCACAAATGTAAATAGCATTACTTTAAGTAAATGAATTCTGTATTTTACTATGATTTACAAAAAACGTATAATTTTAATTAATTATTCTATTAAAAATTATATTCATTACAATTTATCACTTGTATTCTATCGTATTAATTCAAATAGGCATATCTGGTTTATACAGACTATAATAGGCCTATTCAACTTTAAAAAAGAAATTTTCAGTATTTAACAATCGATTCCATATACATACATCCAGAATGTAAACCATTATATCTTCGGTTTGAATGCGATAAAGGTTTTTTTATTACTATATTTGTAATTAAACTATATTTGTGCTATTTGGCATTGATGACTTGATTAAAGCGAAAGTTGCAGATGTGCCTTTTTTAATTTAACATTAAATATTTAATACTTTAATGATTGAATATTTTTGTAAATACAAACAATAGGATTTTAACTAACAACTAGTTATTTTGTCTTATATAACTAATAAAAATTTTATATATTTCATTTATTTTTGCATACGAATCTTATACTTTGTATACTACGCATTTTCACCTACATCTTATTGTTATCAAAAAAATATGTTACAAAGTTCATGTTATCAAAAAAATATTGTTACAAAAGATGCTTGGTATAAAGAGATATAATGGTATAATTTTTGGCATAAATATTATTTTCGTTGATAAAGAGTAACAGTAGAGAGTTCAAGGTCAAAATAAAATCTTATATTTTTTTTATTCATAATAAAATGACATTTGTTGAGACAAATACAACGATCTATTATATGATATAACTTTGTGTAGTATCTCATGTCATCGTTTAGGGAAGAATGAAATAACACTGCAATTTGTACTGAAATGTAACTTATCCTGTTCTTTGTATCAATCTAACATACTTTTATCAGATTTGTATAAAATTTCAACATGTGTAAGATTACGATATAAAATTGAACATCAATATCTGTATAATATCCTCTATATTTTTATCATCTTT